CATATGAAAAGAATCTAGGGATGTAGCTGATCTCAGGATGACTATGAGTCAACATAATGACATTGTTCTAAATAAATCAATCATCATTTTAGGTTGATTCGTGGGAAGGATGATTGACAAGTCATAGGAGCTAATCCTTTTATTCTATTCTATATTGATTAGACCCCACCTCAAGTACTATATCCAAATCTGAGGCCACACTTTAAGAATGATTCAAAGAAACTAGAACAGATGCAGGAAAAAAATATATCAGCCTGAGCCCAAGGTCTTCAGATGTCTGAACATCTTAGGATAAGAGCAAAGGGTTAAAAAGGTGGGTGGGCTGTGCATTTCCACTCGACCCATCTCCCTGAAACATATTGCTTACTGCCTCCCACTGTACTTAGTCCAATATACAATATACAATATATATACAATATACACTTAGACCAATATACTGTTTGTTGTTTTTTGTTTTTTAATTTGATTTATATGCCGCCCTTCTCCGGAGACTCAGCGGCTTACAATGTGCTCAGCAATAGCTTTCATCCTTTTGTATATTTATACAAAGTCAGCTTATTGCTCCCACAATTGGCTCCTCAATTTACCTACCTTAGAAAGGATGGAAGGCTGAGTCAACCTTGAGCCTTGGCGAGATTCGAACCTGCAGTAATTGCAGGCAGCTGGTCTTAATAACTAGCTTAATAACAGGGTGCCTTAGACCACTGTACTACCAAGGCTCTTGATCCTGTGATCCTCCTGTCCTGTTTATGCTCCACCCCTACATTCCCCCTCTACATTCTCTCTGCCCCCATCCCAGAACCTCCCTGAGATCATCTGCTGATACCAACATTTCTATTACGGACTCTCCACTTAAGCATCCACTCTCTCCTCTCCTCCACTCTCTCAAGGACTACATTTGCTATGTCTTTATCTTCTCAACTTTCTTTGCCCCCTCACAATGCCAATCTACAATTTTCCAATGCCACTGTCTTCTGTAAGTTAACAATAAAGATGTGCTCCCCGTTTTAACCTCTTTATGTCCAAGGTGTTTTCTGTACTACTCACTTGAATTACTATCCACTCAGCCTTGAATTAGCAGAATAAGCCAGCATGAACCTCACTGTCCTCATTTCTGGCCTAAATTCTGCTTCTATTGCTGCAGTCACCTGCCATTCCTCCAAGGCCTAATATATCTTATGTATCTTGTGACTATCATTGAATGCTGGTGGCTTAAGTAAGAACAGATTACTTTAACATCAGCACTGCTAAGGATGATTTAAACCCGTCTCACTTATGAACTGGGGATGAGATGAAGGCAATGTCATAGGGCCATGACAGACAAATGATGCTGCCAGGACATGGCTGCGTGATGGTTAAGTGTGAGTGACAGAAAGTCCTACATCTGGTAACTAAACGTGATTTGATTTTCCCAAAGTTAAGCTCAAGAAAAGGTGATAATCTTGCATTAAAAAGAAGCATGATGAAGATTATAAGGAATACATATCTCTGTGTAATCAAATATAACATAACAAGTGTCATTACTATAATCTATCAACTAGTAAAAATGAACATCAGTGTTTTTTGTGTGAAGAATGCAAAATTCTTTGAACTTGTTATAATTTTTGAGAATTCATTCCAAGTCTTTCCATTTTCAAGAAATTGATTGATTGATTGATTGATTGATTGATTGATTGATTTCTATGCTACCCATTTTGTCAAGGCAACTCTAGGCAGCTTACAGTCATACAATTAAAATACCATTCAAAGAATTAACAAATTAGAACAATAAATAAGAACCATACAGTTCAAAATTCAGATAAAATTTGATTTACCACAATGGATAGGAAGGGGGGAAAGTGTGCATGGGGAAGAGGTGTGGTTCTGACCTAATCCATTAACCTTGTCCAAGATGCCATTCCCCCACTGGGGATCCAGGCCAGCTAGCAAAGCCAAGTCTTCAAGCCCTTTCAGAAAGTCAGAAGGGTGAGTGTGGATCTTACCTGGTGGGGGAGGGATGTTAGAAAATAAACATGCAATTTTTTTTACTGACTTTTTTTTTCTGGGATTCATGAGCTAGATGTTGTAGGCATGAATGTAATCCTATTTCTTCTTGTTAATTGCAATTTAGTTTAAATTCCTGCTATATTTAAAGTTACTGGAAAATCTAATCTTCCTTAATAAACTTTCCTGAAAGAAAACACGAATGATAAAAAATATATCAATCGTCCTTCTTTTCTTCTATTTCTTTATTTTTTTATTTTTTATTTTTTTGCCAATTCTGTGCTATTCTTTCAGTTTTCCCCCATCCCCTATCCTCTCTGTACTTCAACTTCCCACCTATGGGCGGTTCTTATCTTAATCAAACAGAGGTATCTTTACTTAACCAACTGTGTACATTCTGTAGCTTCTTAAAGCTTTCGTCCCTAAACCTCTGGAATGTACCTGACAACATCATACCATCCATCCACTTAGGATCATGGCTAAAAGCCCTACGCATTCAAAATAATGGTAAGTATGGTAAATACTGCATTGAAGCTACAATTTTACACCTTTCACGTAATAGTGAGTGCTTATGCAATAGGATCTCAGTAGTCAAGGATGGGGTTGGCTATAAGATTACCATCTTCTTGAACATAACTCATAGGACATAACTCAAAATAAAGGAGTATTGGATTGTGTTGTAATTGTTTCTCTTATTAAAATAGTCCAGAGTTTAACTTAAAGACAAGAAATACATACAGATAAATCACCCTATTTTGGTCGGTCTCATGTTGTAGTACTGCAGTACAGCTGTAGCATTTTTCATTAATTTCAACGAGGCTTGTATAATGTCTTTGTGGAATGTTCTCATGGTTTCATCTGTGAATGTTTTTTTTAATAATCATAAAATGATGGGAGTATTTATTCTATAGAAAAACAGTCTCAACCTAATATTGTTCACCTTATGATGACTTCTTCTACAAATATGTCATCCTTCAACATCTTTTTGTCCAGAAAATCTTTGTCAATAGATGTATATACATTTGAAACTTGATGATATCAACCTCAGCATAAGGAAAACCTGCTCAGCCTGAAATGCAAAGAAATTTTTTTGATTTGTTTGAACTGGGATTGTAATGATCTATGTTTAAGCTTGTTCATTTCTACCCTTGTGTTGCTATCAATATAATTCATGCAGCTACCTGTAATACTGCTAATACAAATTATCCATTTTATTCAGAACTCAGTAGTAATAGTATAGTATGTGTCTCAGGCTTTAATTTTAATACTTTCCTATTCATTTAAAGCGAATTTGTACAGGACAACTGCCCAATTGGTAGTGTCCTCATAACTAAAATCCTATGGCATCTCTGGACCCCTACATAATTGGATTGCTGCGTTCCTGTCAAACAGACAACACATGGTCAAAATAGGGAGCGCCCTATCAAATCCTGCACCTGTTAATAGCGGTATCCCCCAAGGCAGCATTCTAAAACCAACACTCTTCATACTATACATAAATAACCTTTGTGATCATACTATAAGCAAATGCGTTCTCTTCGCCAATGATGTAAAAATATTTAATACCACCGACAATGCTGTTACCCTTCAAAAAGACCTTGACTTTGTGTTGGAATGGTCAAACAATTGGCAACTCCAAATCTCAACCAACAAATGCTCTGACTTACACATTGGCAAAAAGAACCAGAACACAAAATACAAGCTGAGTGGACACGACCTTGTAAATGACCCTCACTCTGTCAAGGACCTTGGAGCGCTCATATCTAATGATCTAAGTGCCAAAGCCCATTGTAACAACATTGTCAAAAAAGAATTAAGAGTTGCAACCTAATCTTGCACAGCTTCTTCTCCAGTAATATCACACTACTAACCACAGCATACATTTGCTAGACCAATTCTCGAATACAGCTCATCTGTCTGGAACCTGCACTGCATATTGGACATTAATACAATTGAATGTGTCCAGAAATATTTCACAAAAAGAGTCCTCCACTCCTCTGCTTGCAACAAAATACCTTATGCCACCAGACTTGAAATTCTGGGCTTAGAAAATTTAGAACTACACCGCCTTCAGTATGACCTAAGTGTAGCTCATAAAATTATCTGCTACAATGTCCTACCTGTCAATGACTACTTCAGCTTCAACCACAACAATATACAAGCACACAATAGATACAAACTTAAAGTGAACCACTCCAAACTCGATTGCAGAAAATATGACTTCAGCAACAGAGTGGTCAATGCCTGGAATGCACTACCTGACTCTGTGGTTTCATCCCAAAACCCACAAAATTTTAACCTAAGACTGTCTACTGTTGACCTCACCCCATTCCTAAGAGGTCTGTAAGGGGCGTGCATAAGCGCACCAGCATGCCCACCGTCGCTGTCCTAATGTTTCCTCTATTTGTATCTATTTTATGTATCCAATCCATATACATATACTTATATATATTGCCTAATACGTTCTTGACAAATAAATAAAATAAATAAATATAGGAGGGCATTTTTCCAGTACATTTATCTGGGTACAGTTGTGTGCTGCAGTATTTGAACCAGATGTTTTAAGGAATGAAAAAACTATATGAATATGAAGGCCAATAGGGGTTAGTGGTTAAAATTTTAGACCAGAATTTAGAAGAGCCACATTCAATTCCAACCCACAACCATGGAAAATCACTAGGGGTGTTTGAGCCAGTCATTCTCTTACCCCAATCTACTAAGTTTGTTATTGTGGGACATACTGGAAGAGTCAATATTACAAAGATGTTGGATGAGGAGACAAGGATTCTAGTCTACCATCAGCCACAGATGCTCATTGGGTGAATTTGGAGCATTCTTTCTCATCCCAACCTATCTTACAGGGTTATTGTGAAAAAGAAAATCAGAAAAAGCAATGCTATGTATATTGCCTGAAGCTCCTGAAGAAAAGATTGGGTATCAACATAATATCCAAACAAATAAATAAAGTACCCATTTATTCTCTACCTGATCTAACAAAAAGGACCCAAAACATATACTGGCAGAGCAATTCCATATATTGTTTACTTCAGAAGAACTACATATAATTACATTTTATGATTATTACATATTATTATGCATTCATTCAGAAAAGTTTCATTCCATTTTATATATTCCATACTAGTGCTAAGCAGTATTCTTCATTAATCAAAATTGCAGTCTGGTTTGAGTGATTACAAACTGCAGATTACAGCTAAACATCCTATGCTTTATATATATATATAGGAATCAGCCTATGGAATATACAGTAGTTCTGATCAAAGTGAAGTTAAAGTATACTTAACAATTAAATATAATCAATACAGTTATTTGCTTGGCCTCTGTTGTAGTTGTGCCTCTGTTATAGCGGAATGTGCTGAAAGGGATTTTGGATCTAAAGTGAGACTCCTTTATTGCTCTTCATTAAATGAGTACTCAACTTGATGTTCACAAGGACCCACAACACCTTCTGGGATTTTCAGTTGCAATCCATTTGGAGGACACCAGATTGGGAAAGGCTGCAATAAATCATCATAATGTATTATGTAAATACCAGGTTGTGTTTTCCATTATAACAGGCATTCAACAAAACCTAATGTAGAAGCCTGAAATATTCATGTGCACAACACAGCCCTTGTTGCATATCAGTTTGTAGAAGAGCTGCATGGCTACCCTCCCCCTTGCCTTTTAACATGAAGCAGCTGTGCAAGTGGAGTAGCACATGAGTTACTTTTCAGATCACTGAACATCTTAATTTAAAAAAAAATGTTCCCAGCACCCTTGATCAAGAGGCAAATCTCTAGTGATAGAAAATTAGCTTGCTCAAGTGAAGTCATCCCCCCTCCCCCACTCCCCTGCTTAGTCTTGCACAGAACCCTATCAAGTTTCTTGGAATACAGTTTGAAAAACTCGGGAGCAGGGTTGACTTCTTCATAGCACACCCCTTGTGAGATGTGATACCATTCTTCCATGGATTTGATTAGCAGTTTGACTATCTTCCTTCTACGCCTTCGGTCTGACCTAAGCATAGTACACAAAATTATCTGCTACAACGTCCTACCTGTCAATGACTACTTCAGCTTCAACCGCAATAATACACAAGCACACAATAGATACAAACATAAGGTAAACCATTCCAAACTTGATTGCAGAAAATACGACTTCAGCAACAGAGTGGTCAATGCCTGGAATGTATTACCTGACTCTGTGGTTACTTCCGCAAACCCCCATAACTTTAACCCTAGACTGTCTACTGTTGACCTCACCCCATTCCTAAGAGATCTTCTGTAAGGGGCATGCATAAGCACACCAGCGTGCCTACCATCCCTGTCCTATTGTCCCCATTTATTCGTATCCTTATCCTGTATTCATAATCATGTTTATCTTATATGTATTTGACAAATAAATAAAATTAAAATAAATATCTAGATGAGTCTTTCCGAATCTCGACAAAGATTCATAGACTTCACCTCCCAGAATTTCTCATGCTGGCTGGGAATTGTGGGGGTTGAGGTCCATGATTCCTAAAGTTGCAAAACAACTATATTTTTAGAGGCTATAGAGGCTATATTTCTCCTTTCTGATATCTCCATTTCAGCAAGGGAGTCTGACCACCATCTTACCCAGTTATAGCTCATAATGATTGCTAGGCTAGTTTTATCATTTTATTTGATCCCATGAACTATTTCATTTTATCATACGAAATATTTAAATATAGAAAGAAATGAATTCACTCATCCTTCAATAAATTTTAATTGTTTTCCTACTTTTCCTTTCTTCCATCACAAGAATATTATTCCTTTTTGGAGGGCGCAGGGGGAGGTATTTAAAGTGGAAAGCTATTTTCCAGTACCTTTACTTGTTTCATAGCACATGAAATGTCCTACCCAGCAATCAATCTGTACTGATTCAGAAATGTACTACAATCCTCAAGAGAACTTAAGAGGATTGCAAGTGCCACTCAGTAACCCCTTCAATGACTCTGTGAAGGGACTCACTATATTCATTCCATAGCTGAGAGGCTAGAGAAGAAAGTGCTAATTCCCTGAGGATCCAAAGGAATAATGAGTAAGTAGCAAGTGAGGTGACAGTCCAGGAAATGTTCTTTATTTCAAAGGGAGGTTCTCCAGAAGAACAACTCTCTTTTGCTCATCTGGACTTTGCTTTTCCAGTGGTCTTTTATAGGAAGCTTCCCTCATGAATGGAATCATTCCTGCTTTACTCCTATAGCACCTCCCTGATCTAATTATAGAACTGACTCTTGCAGGGAGTTCATGTGCTATTGAAAGAAGGGATATGCAAAGTTTGTATAACTCAGAATAAACATTTTCTTATGACTATGCTGTTGCACGTGGAGAAAACTCAGTAAAACCATAGCTTACATTTCTGGTGGAGTGCCATTTTCAGTTCATACAAAAACATTATGACCCAGTTTGTACATGCAGAGATGGTGTGAACCAATCTGGCATTGCTCTTCGTGGTGTATTATTTACGGTGGCTCATTCATTCACAAAGGGAAGGGGGTGACATAGTCATTATAAAACAATGAACACAGGCCTATGACTGAGGCCCTTGAATGTGAAGAATTGACATTTGCTGTCATTACGCAACAAAATCTTGGGAAATTGTCTTCTTTTTTTTCTCTTTTGTGTTTTCTCATTTTTTTTCCTTTCCAATTGGTGCATAAAGTACAGCAGGAAATATGGATGTCAGTTTTACTTTGCTCCTTATATATCTGTGGAAACCTAAGACATGTGCTCATAATTTCTTCTTCGATTCTGCATTTCCCAGAGCTGAAATGCTGCATTTATTTTTGTGAGCACTTCTAACAAATGTGAACACTGAGCTTTGTATTGGAAAGGTAAAGCAGGCGAGAGGACTGTCCTGACACCTTCAAATGTCGAGATTACCTGGTGAATTTTTCTTCTTTTTGCTTTATGTTCATTTGTATCTTGAATATCAGTATATATCAGCATATCAGTAGCTAGTCAACCTTGTTTAATCTAGAAAACTAAGTATTTAATATGGGACATCTGGGAAGTCTAGGGCAGTCACCTAGACCAGGAAGCTGAAAATACCTTGGCCCATCATTTCAGCACTTGTCATGAAAACTAATGGTTGTGTCCCTGAAAGAACCAGAAGCTCAACTGACAGACACTTTACCATATGGCAAGTGATAAAGGGTCAGTAGGGTCAGTAATAGAGCTTGAGTAATTTACCACTCCTATGTAGAGCAGATTTAAGCTGCAATCAGATTCCTACCTCCGCTTGATAATTGGCAGCTTGTTTACTTCTCCAGCATTAGTCCTAAAGTTTACTGTACAGTAAATAGAGGCTGCTAAGTTATTCTACGCCACTCTACATTTTAGCAGAGTGCCAGAGAAATAAATTCAGATTCAGTAGATATATCACTGAATCAGAATAAGTTCAACTATTGTGAATTCCTACATATTTTTTGGATTTCCTAAATCAAGATATTTATTTATTTACTTAAAGAATCTGTAGTACCGGTAGTTACTTCAGCAAAAAGGGGACAAAAAGCTACATAAATAACACAGGTTATATAAGCTCAACCTTATATCTGTGACAGGCATGTTGAAGAATGTTTATCAAGGTAGAAGATGTTTGGCACACCAGAGATCATGACCGAGTAACTATAATATGATAGCAGCTGTCAGCTTGCATAATGGAAGCCTGGGGAAAGCTCTGTCTTTATGATACTTATACTGTATTCATTTGGAATCAAACCAAATCCATAGGAGCAAGAATATGACAGACAGCAAATCCAGATGTGATGGCAATAGGTTTGTTTATTTAATCTTGGCTTTGCCTGAGTCCTTTAGAAGAAGAAAAAAAGGAGGTGGCCAATTTTATCTGAACAATGGAGGCGCAGTCAGAAGTTGTAAGTTAACTCTCTGATGCTCATCTATCTGGTAGATTTTTAAATGCAAGTTAATCTTATTTATTTAATCACTTGATATTGCCACATTCTCAAAAATGAATCAGGGCAGTGTATAATTGAAACAATAGAACCCTAAAAATAAACAATAATAATACAATTTAAACAACAAAGCTCACCAAAGACAATTCAACAATAAGGCTATTTTACCAGCCAATTCTCAAATCCTCCTAACCCAATGCCTGGAGAAAAACCAGATCTTCAAGGCCTTACAAAAGGCAGGCAGATTGGGGCTATCTAGGTCCTAGATAATGCCATACAATTGCAGAAATAGAGAAGACATATCTGCTGAATCCCATAAGATGACATTTCTTAGGAGAAGGGATGCCGGCACTATCAGATATAATTGGACAGACAGAAATGATTGGAGACAGGTGGTCCTGCAAGTAACTAGGCCCTGCCCTAAAAAAGCTTTATAGATTATAATAAGGCCTTTAAAATGTATTTGGAACCCCAGTAGCAATCCATGGAATTTGTGATATAATAATATTATATGGACAAATTGAGGAGTGCCTATAACTACCTGCACTGCTGCATTCTGGGTCAGCTGGAGCTTTCAATTGGCCTTCAAGGATAGCCCAATATAGTGGCTGAGACAGTGATCCAAATAAGAGATACCAAGGAATGAATGACTGTGAGTAGAGCTTCCTGGTTCAGAAAAAAAATGCAGCTGGTATACAAAATGTATTTATGTGAAGACCCACTGAGCTGCAAGAATGGCTGGAAGGACTCCAGATTTGCACTCAGTTTATATGAGAGAACTAGAGGTGAAAATCTCCAAGATCCAAGGGACTTCAAAATCCACAGCTGCTTAGTCTTGATAGATTGAGCTTGAGCCTGAGATACCTCATCCCATGCCAACAGATGATCTCACCCATTGGATTCATTTAGATCCAGGAATAGGATCTAAGAATAGGGAAAGCAAGAATCAAAGATTGGACCTCTTCATCCCCACATACAACAAAACAAAGAGCCTTGATAGTACAGTGGTTTAGTGCACCCTGTTATTAACACAGCTGCCTGCAATTTCTGCTGGTTCGAATCTCTCCAAGGCTCAAGGTTGACTCAGCCTTCCATCCTTTCTAAGGTAGGTGAAATGAGGACCCAGTTTGTGGGGGCAATAAGCTGACTTTGTATAAAATATACAAAAGAATGAAGGCTATTGCTTAACGCATTGTAAGCCGCCCTGAGTCTCCGGAGAAGGGCGGCATATAAATCAAATTTTTTAAAAAAATGGAACCAGCTCTGGAAGAAGAAGGAAAAATCACAGGGATAGCAAATTGAAATATCCATGTAATATAAATTAACTCCTCTCCAAGCCCAGCCATTTAACTGAGCAACTCAGGCAAAGAAGTCAGTGTGTAACAAAGAAGGTAGTCAATAGAAACAATCTCATCTGTTCGCTAAAGCTCAGCTACACAAACAGGACCTCACATTCAGTTATTTGCAGATACCTCTGGAAGCCACAAGGGACTCACTGATAACAATACCTAGCTCTAACCCAAGGACAACACTGGCCCTGGGACTGTGTTTGATGCCACATTCAAAACACAAGTGTGT